CAGTTTGTGGACTTCCTGATAGTAGAATTATAATAGTCCAGCCTTGAAGTAAGAAATGCATGGACTAGTTTCTCCCCATCACCCCAGAAGAAACTAGAAGGGAGCTAACAGAAGGAGACTGACACAAGAGGGCAACAGAGGGTAAACAAGAAATACATAAGAACTCAAATACAACCAAAAACAACTAGAACACCACAAAATGGAAATAAAACCAATGAAAACTCAAAAAGAAAATTAGAAAAGAAACTAAACTAAACTAAAAAAGAATCTAAAACCATGACAAAGGGTCCTTTAGAGCACCTCCATTTATCTGGTGCTCCTCAATATCTACATTTGATTAAAAAAAAAACTGTAATTTTTTTCACCATAAATATTGACTAGTAAGTAAAAACATTAAACAAAATAAAAATACAGGAAAAGTTTTATGTATGTTTATGGTGAAGCAGGCAATCAGGTGTCAGGGTTGCTATGGAAGCAGCCCTAATCCTGCCTCATGACTTTTATTGATGTATGATAATTTAAATCATTTCATGTTTGCTCAATTACAGGGACATGGAATTATGTATTAAACAATTAAACAGTGATATTCAGTTCTTAAAATGAAATCAAAACATGTAAACTTGTGCCATTAAAAATAATTACTTACATTTAAAATAAATCCACTACTCAATTTAAGTGACACATCTAAATGGTTATTTCATAAGTAATTTACTTTATAATGGCACTTGACACCCCCCATAACCATCTTTATTACATGTTCTTAAAGCCTGCTTTAGGAGGCCCCCTAGTGGATGTTGGTATGCATTGTTTTGTCCTTTTTTGCAGGTTCTTGTACAGAGTTCTGGTGTTTCCTGTCACTGTGGGCTGCAGAGCACAGTAGTACACAGCAGAGTCTGACAGACGGAGATCCTGGATCGTCAGATCGAAGGCTGATTTATTGACCTGAGCAGTAAATCGGTTTCTATTGAACTCTGGAGCATTGTCACTTCTTTTAATATATTCCTTGAGCATGTACTTTGGAACACCTTGCCCTTGTTGTTTATACCAGAACAGAGCATAATTTGTAGAAATGGTCTCAAAAGTACATCCCAGAGTTACAGATTCTCCTTCAGCAGCAGCAACGTGTCCTTCTGTCTGCGTCACTGAGTCTCCTTTACACTCTGAG